GYCGCTGCCRCTGMYGCTGCCCCTTCCGCCGCTGCCCTGGAGCAGGGAGGCACCGGCCTTTCCCCCCGTCAGCAGGTCCGCCACCCGGGACACCAGGAGGGACTTTCCGCTCCCGGTTTCCCCCGTGACGCAGACGAGGTTCCCGCGGTCYCTCCCCCCGGGATCGGCGGGGCCCGAGAGGTCCACCACCACCGCCGTGGTGCCGCTGCCGCCGGACATGCCGGCGAGGTTTTCGCACTCGATGCGGGTGATCCTCCCGGAGGTGGCCCTCGGCCCTCCGCCGCTGTTCTCGGGAGCTGGGTGCCGCGACGAGCTCGACTCGCGTGCCTCGGCCCGGCCCTGTTCGTGCCGCGGAGCCAGTGACGAGAGGCTCCCACAGGGGTTGCGGTTGCGGTTGTGCTTCTTGTCGTCGTTGTATTCATAGTTGTAGTTATAGTTGTAGGTGTAGGTGTACTTGTACGTGTACTCGTAGCTGTGCTCGTCGCGTTGTAGTTGTAGGTGTAGGTGTACTTGTACGTGTACTCGTAGCTGTGCTCGTCGCCGCGGTTTCCGGTGGGTGGTTTGCTCGGTCCGGCGGTGCGAAATGTGGTCGCTGCCGGTAGGAATCCCGATGCCGAGCGAGACACCGCCAGGAGCAGCACGAGAAGCTTTCCGATCCATCGCCTGCGCATCGGTGCTGCCGCCGGGGGGGAACCGGCAGCTCTCCCGCGTGTGGCCCTTTCGTTCCTCCCTCTGGTCGCTTCCATGGCCCGGTCCCTGTCGTGTGGCTGCCTCGGCCGCGTCGCGTCGCGTCGGATCGGATCGGATCGGATCGGTGTGTGTTTGTATACTGTATGTGTCGAATCTCGTTTCCTTCGTCGTTTTTGTGACATGAAAAAATAACGATCGAATACAGAAGTTTTTTGGTTTGTTTCTTGGTCAACCCAGGAAGATGGTACGRTACCATACCGTACGTACGGTACAGAAACGTACCGTACGGTGTCTTACGAGTGCCAGGATGGGAGGCGGAAAAAGATTGTTGGGAAGAGCCAGCGAGAACCGAAAGATACTCGTACACGGTAGAAGAAGGTGGGAATCCGAACTCGGAGCAGCGCAGGACACCAGGATAGGTTCGTACGTATCATAGCTCATACCGTACGTACGGTACTAGGGGTCATAAATTTAGAGCCCCTGGTCCCTGGTGCCTGGTTCATACCAGTAGTTGGTAGATTCAGTATCATAAGTACTCGTACCCTAGTACGGTCGTAGAAGATGGTACGAGTACCAAGATCGTMGCGATGTCCCGGCAGTCCGTTTAGTCCAATATTTTCACCCGGATTCCCAAAACTGCTCGTACGATACACAGGCGTACGAGTGCTCGTACTACTCGTACCTACCTTCCATCGGACCGAACCGCAATCTGCAATGACCATGGCATACACACATTAGCGACACGAAAGAGAAAGMAGCAGCCCATCGATCGCTGCCATCGCACCTCGCGGCAAACCACCAAAAAGAAAGGCCGCCCGATCCAAACCCACGGGCCTTGTAACCGAGACTCCACGGCCCACGGCACGTCCAAAGCATCGGTTCCGTTCCCACCCTTGGCAACCGCGAGGGGAGCGAGGG